TGTTTCTGTCAGTTTAACCTGTACAGTTCTGTTTGCTTTAAAAGAGGCAGAGGGCGGGGGCGGGGGGCAAATTGGCCCAATGTGTGCACATAAAATCATAAAGTCTGTTGATGTGTCAAGTGTGTATTTTTAATCCCAGATCTATTCCTTTCAATAGTTTTCAATAAGCTTGTACTATCACTTTGAAATAATACATCAGCTCAACCCAATTTAGTACATTCCTTTACCTAAAATCAAAGTTGGGCTACTTTAAGGAATATAAAAATGTGAATTTGTTTAACCATTTAATATAGAGTCAATCATATAAAATAACATTTATAAGCCCATCATAATTGTTTTTCTTCAAATTTTGAAATATCTTTGCAATTAATAGAAAACTATTTATTTATCATTTATTGGCAGGTGTATTCCAATTACAAGTGTAATATCATTAATCATTAAAATATAAATAAAAGCAATCATTTAAAAAATATAGGAGGTTATGGATGATTGATATTGTATCCCCAAGTATAATTTGATCTCAATTTACTCACAGGTACAAAAAGCAGGTTAAATGGCAATTAGTGTACATGAATGTAGGAGGTGCTTGAATACTCATCATCACAATCAATAAAATCTGTGGTTTATATGAATAATAACATGGTTTGAATTGTTAATCATATTTAAAAACCTAAAATAAATCCAATTTTAACATGAATAAAACATTTACTGTCGTGTGGTTCATTTTTATTTTGCTCAGGGCAAATATAGATCTTGATAAAAAAAATGGTGTTATAACAATGAGTACTCTATTGATAACTAATTCATCTATAAAAATACATATCTTTAATCATTTTAGGGCAATAAATTTTTATGCTCGATGGAAAAGCAAAGTAGCCACAATTTCTCCAATTGTGAGAAAAGTCAAAAGATTTATTCTTGTATGAAATGGACGACATCTATTGTTATTTATGAATGTGTAAATGGTATATATTAACACACTTACGTTGTTTTACGTGAAAGAAGAAGTTAATATTCAAGTTTAAGTAAAATTATGTTTTTTTTATAGTACAATGTCACTTTGTTTCTACAAACTGTCACTACAAATGCTGACAGCCCTACAAGATTTACATATATACGCTTACTTGAGCTCAGAGAGACGCAGTTCATAGCCTAAATTTTACACTCCTTGTTAGTTTTTTTTTGTGTTGTCTAGGGAGTACAGGCATTCTCCTTAGACATGATAATGGCTGGATAATAGGATATTGGACACCACATTCAAGGTCACCCAACCCTAAGAGACGCAACCTACATTTACATACACATATACTATTACATAGTTTTAAAACACTGTTTTTACATAAATATCTTACAATTTAAATCCGGTCTTTTGTAGAGTACATCAAATAATTTAATATCTTGGGGTTTAAAATTAGTTAATATTACTTTTAATTTATATCAAATTGTTTTTAAAACTTAAAGTAGAAATATTGTTATTAATATATAAAAATCACCAAGACCAGTCTTTGGATGGAACTAAAACATACTATATTATGGTAATCTGCAAACCTCAATATTTCTGAAATATATTATTTGAAAACTCTAATTCTTATATTAGTTGTATACCAAAATAAGGTTTACTAATAGTAAAGGAGGTTATAGAGAGATAAACAAGTACCAGATTTAAAACTGTTAAAATAATTAAATACATATTCAACAGTTAGTAGGATTTAAATCTTGTTAACTACAAGAAATTATGCTGGCTTACATTGACTTATTGCTGCTTTAAATAAAATAGTTATTTTTGCCTACTATATATACAAAATAAAAGATCTGTAACATTGTATGTTTATATTTATATCACAGAATTTGTATATTTATATCACAGAATTACACAAGCCTGTAGTTCATGACTGTATTGTAACAATAGCATGAGTTATATGATAATAATACATGAGTGTATATTTTCTACCTATATAAATGTCCACACTCAATTAAAATAATTATCTTCCTGAAAATTAAATTTAATTTGACAGATTTTTTTTAATTATCTGTAAATTTGATTAGGAAGTTATTTGGGGCATTTCTAAGTAGTTATGTTGAGCTGTAACTAAGCTTTGAGGGGGCCATGTTGGGTAACTAAACTCGAGGTCCCAGGTTCGATCCCAGTGTTGGCCAAAAAAGTTTCGCAGGATTTTCTAGAGTGCTTTTCCTTGACAGTGGTGCCGGACAGAGGGTTATGGTAAGGAACAGAGTCTAGGCGTTAAGATGTGAACCTACATGTAAGAGAAACACTGATAGTTGGAATTCAATTGCTGTCTGGGCATGGCCTGTCTACATGGTTCAGGAAAATGGTGATAAAATACCCCACACCAAAAATAATTCATAAAAGTTATATTCAAAAGTTAAAAATTACTGTGGATATATTTATTTTATGAATTATTCTTGGTGTGGGTATTTTTATCACCATTTTCTTTATCTGTGTCTTGACTGTCTTCAGTCATTAGAGTTTTAGTTACAAGAAATGTCACATCAGCTCAATTTCACTACTCCAAAACGCTCCAAATACACTTGACTTTCTAATCAAATTTACAGATCATTATAAAACTGGTAAATTTAATTTTAAAGAAGAAGGTAGACATGTAGCTTACATCTTCACCTAAATTTTATAAGTTGGGGAAAAACAACCTGACCTATTTCTACTGTAAAATGCCTAATTTATGTACCTATTGTCTGAGCGGAGCAAACATCCTCTGTTGACATGGAGTTGAAAGAGTTGGTCATTGCTCTTTCACATAAACTGTCACATACATTTTACTTATGTCAGTTGGCTTTAGTAGGTTTTAATTAGTAATAAAGGGCAATTATCGGTAAACCTTTACCTATTTTCTTTTATTATTTACAAGATAAATGTTAACCTGCTTCAATGTTTATTCTTAACACCTGTTGACCAAATACACATGGTCTAATATTGTGGACTAAGCTTTATATATTCCTAATTTTTACACTTAATATTAAAATCAAATTTAGCTTAGTCATAAAATAACAAATATTATTACCAATACATGAACATCTGTAGATGTATGTAAAATCAAATTGCGATGTGGAAGTCAGTCATGTATAAATAACTGATAATGTAATAATTAACATACAAAAGTTTTGTTACCTGTCAAGCCTTTATTACTGTCATCCTACCTTCAAAGATAATTATCTTTTTACAAATAGTAAAATAACAATAATGAGTATGATACGTATAGACTATTTGTCATTATTTAATTGATTCAAATTTTGAAAAAGAGACATTAATCAATCTATGTACATGTAATCTATAAATTTCTGTTAAGAATTCTATCGTTTGTTTAGACTGATTTTCATATTTCTTTTTAAAAAATATTTAATGTTAAAATAAGTTGGTTAATGATTATGATACATAGACAATTTGTCAGATTTGATTGATATTAAATGATTGGTTATCGTTTGTTTTATTTTAAAATATTCAACAAATGTGTCAGGTTAAATTAAACCACAATGTTATATTATTTATAAAATCCAGTTGACAGTTCCATTGAATATTTATTCAGCTGATAATGAAAGTTTAAAGAGAATTTGACAGGTTAAAAAATAATGACCTTCCCTCTTTTTGTAATGAATGGCTGGTGTTAAACTAGTTAATTACATATTGAATGTACCACTAGGCTGACCAGGGGTTGCTACCTGTCAAACACGCTACTATATTAACCTGATAACTTCTTAAAGAAACTCATCACACCTACCATTATATATCTATTGTTCTATACTTAAAGTCATTAACATCAAACTCTTACCACCTGCAGTCGTAAGTTGTACAGGTGCGTATGGTATAGACAGACAAGATTACATAATTACAAATTATATAGTTAATAAAATTAATGAAACAGATTTTATACATTATTACATACAATCAGCACTCAGCTGTATGTCAATAGTATTAAGAGTTTATTAAATTAGAATCTGTGTTCATATCAATTGTATATTATTCATAATAACAGTAATTAGCATTGATTGATATAATACTTTGTTGTAAACCTGGACTGAATAGAATAAAGTGTCAATTTTTAAAGTACAGTATAGTAATTCTATATATTATGTCTCTTTAATTATATTACTAAATATTATGCTTCAGGATAGAATAAAAAAGGGAAACAATTAATTGATTGCATATGGTAATACCCTAGATCTTTGTGAATAATACAATACGTTGGTGGATAGATCTATCAGGCTTTTTAACCTATTAATTTATTCCAAAATGAAATACACAAATTGAACCAAAGTAATATAATGCACTTTCTTTGGGAGTGAAACCCAACCTACTACTGATAAATAGGTTACTATAAAATGTAATCGTAGTATTTTATAATGCTTCTACAAAGTAAATAAGAGACAACTTTAGACAAGAGTTAAAACAAGTCTGGGCTATGACTCCTTAAAAATATGGATTTGTGTTTTCAAGCTACGTGACATCCTAAAAAATAGGACGATCTGTTTTTTTAAAAAAGAGGTCGGTTATTATCGGGAGAAGCGATAGATATACGTCGGGTTTTAAAAGCGTCGTTTTCGGGGGTCAAAGTTTTACAGCTGTGCAGATAAAAAGTTTTTATTCCTTGCGCATTTAATCCAAATTTACGCAAATTACAAGATGCAGCTACAAAATCGAGAAAACAGTTGCTACTTTAAAAGATCTTTGTTTGAAATGTGTGCATAATAGCTCGTTGGGTTTAGTTGGAAGTCTTGTATCAGCTCTCTTTGAGGTGTACATCAGTCCATAGGTAAACAATCAACAACGCACCTGTTTAGACAAGATTAGCATATATTTTCGGTTAACCAGTGATTCTTTTGCAACGTATGATCATTGACATGTCTTGTTAATCGAATAAACCTAGGCGCCACCTTTCGGCTCCTACGATACCCAAAGACAAGTACCTGCGAATATCAAACAAGCTGATTGGTTGGACTAATACTATCTGTGTTTTGATTGGTTTAGGTAAATCTGACCTTCATCATATCCAAAATGGCTTCCATCGAGCTGGGTCTTCCATTCGCTTACAGAAAGTTTTGATGGGTTATTTTAGCTAACGTTCTTTGTATTAAGGGACCACGATGTTGAAGATAGCCAGAAGATAATAATTGGACATTTAATAACATATGTGTGATTGGAGTACAGTTGTATTTTGTCTTTGAAACCCAGTTTGTGATTTTACTTGAGTTGGATTCTTGCCAAAAACTTGACAAGCTTGAAGGAAGAAATATTGTTGTGGGCTTCGCACAATCCTTTGGCCCTGTTCTGGGTTTACGTAGACGACGCACTGGTGCGTGTCAAGACTATATATTTTGTTTGTGTATAGCTTGGATTATAGGTAATCAGAAGTTGTTTGATCAGATATTGATTGGAGAAATGTTTACGACAGATTTACATCTGTGCGTGTGAAAAGAAAACCGATGTTTTATTGGGGTTTACGGCGGTAGAGACTCGACCGCTATTAACAAATAAGACTGACCCTGATTTGGCCTTAAAACCCCCCATCTGAGTCACGATAAATATTCATAGGGCACGTATGCAACTTAGATATTAATCATCAGTGTTTTCAACGTTTCTGTATACAGCTGATCAACAGAAACCGAAAATATGGAGAACAATTATTTAGCCTCAAGTAAACATGTGTGTGTTGTATTGATTTTCTTGATCTCACATTTCGTCACAATCAACAGTTGGCAATACAAATGGAATCCTAATTCTTACTCCTCTGTACAAGATGGTCAAAAAAGTATTATGTATTTTCATGGGAAACTACATGAAAATGACTATTTTAAAGTGATACACTCTGAAGATGACTGGATGCTGGTCGGAGCTAGAAATGTTGTTCACAACATCAGTTTAGCTGATTTAAAACAGTTTGATGAAATAAAATGGCCTGCAGACGAATCGGATATCAATGTTTGCATCAGGAAACAAAAACCAAAAGAAGAGTGTCAGAATTATATCCGTGTTTTAGTACCAAAGAACACTATGGATTTATTTGTTTGTGGTACAAATGCTTTCAGACCAAGATGCCGAACTTATCGAAAAAACAGTGAAGGAAAATATGAATTTAAGGGAAAAGAAGAGGAGGGCATTGCCAAATGTCCCTTTGATCCCAAACAAAACAGCACATCCATTTACGTAGATGGTAAATTTTATTCCGCAACTGTTGCTGATTTTTCTGCACGGGATCCTTTGATCTTGGAAAGTGACAAATTTATCAGGTCTGAACAGTATGACTCAAAATGGTTAAATGAACCCAATTTTGTAAGTTCCTTCGCAAAAGAGGACAAAGTGTTTTTCTTTTTCCGAGAAACAGCCATTGAAAATATCAACTGCGGCAAAGCAACGTTTTCCAGAGTCGCTCGAATTTGCAAACAAGACCAAGGTGGTAATGTACTTTTACCCAATACATGGACCTCTTTCTTCAAAGCTAGACTAAATTGCTCCATTCCTGGAAATATGCCCTTTTATTTTAATGAAATTCAGTCGACCACATCACTGGAGGAAGGTAGCTATAGACCAGTACCAAACAGTCGCGATCGACATGATATGATTTATGGTGTTTTTACCACAAGCGAAAATAGTATTCCTGGTTCTGCAATCTGTGCTTTTAGTCACGAGGATATCATTAATACTTTTCAAGGGCAGTTCAAGGGTCAAGAATCAGCACTGCATAATTGGTTGGCTGTACCAGAAGAAAAGGTGCCAGTTCCGCATCCACAGGAGTGCTCTAGACACAGCAAGGATTTGCCAGATATGACACTAGATTTTATCAAAACTCATCCATTGATGGATAAAGCTGTTCCGGCTAGAGGCGGGGCACCGATATTGGTACATACCAGTTTTACATCGAGATTTACGCAGATTGCTGTTGATTGGCAGGTGAATTCCGGTAAAGGAAGATATTACGATATTATATTTGTGGGTACTAACGATGGACGTGTTATCAAGACTATTAACAAAGGGGAGACATCTAAAATAGAAACAGTTATAATTGAAGATATTTTAGTGTTTCACGATCATTCCCCAATTACTAATTTGAAAGTTTACAAGAAAAACAGTTTAACAGAGAAACTGGTTGTCATGTCTAGCAAAGATATCGTCTCCATTCCACTACATCGATGTCATGAGAAAATGTCGTGTCATGCTTGTGTTGCTTTACAAGATCCATACTGTTCTTGGATTGAAAATAAATGCGCTAATTCCGAAAGAGGCATTCAGAACATCCAAGAAGGGAAAGATGATGATTGTGGTCCTGCACCGCCAATGGGTGTCAGCAAGCCGCCTACAACAACAATCCGACATTTTGTTCCTCAAAAGCCACTAGTTTGTAATTGCAAAGATCAGGAAAACCCCCAAAAAACGTATCCCATCGACGTACCGAATAGCGTACCTGTTAATTATCCAGAAATGCCAGAAGAAAACCAAAATTTTATTGACAAAGGCGGTCGTGTTGAAGAAATCAAAGACAGAACAGAATCAAATGTGACAGCATCAACCATGGCTATTTCTGTTGTAGTGTCTATAGTGTTATCGCTTGTGATAGGGTTCTTGATAGGGTATAAGGTCAGTTCCTGTCGGGGTTCCAGGAACATTGATACCCCCCATTTAGATAGAAACATTGCTATTCAAAAAACAAAAAACAGACTCTCGTCTACGGGAGAAAATGTGTATTTTAACCCCGAAACTGTGAACTTACAAAAACCTAATATAAATTATGTTGTGAACGTTACAAATCAAGGTAAATTGAACAGTTCAGTGGAAACTAAACCCGTACACAAATCAAACAAAGTCTACTTATAACATGGTGTTTTTAATTTGTTATTGGTGCTTTTTAGTGATTTGTTTTAAAAGTTTAACCAAAGTGAAAAAAGAAATCTGGCCAGTGGTTGTTTTCATTGTTGTTTTAATTAAGCTGTGTAAACTCTTGAGTGAAAAAGCAAGTCTACTGCCAAGAGAATCGGTTCTCTCCATTGAGAATAAGGGCAAAGTCGCAAACTATATGGCCAAAAATTTTTACTTTTGTTGGATTTGTGTGTGTGTTAAACATGTTATTCAAGTCTACTGCAAAATGGAAGTTAAATGACTTGTAAATCTTGTGTACAACTGCCAAAAACTAAGGACTCCAGACAGTTTGTGTGTACCTGTATTATTCAAGCTTTGTGGTTGTGTTTGGCATTAAGCCTATTTTTTATTTTATCTTCTCAAATCATAAAAGTGAAGATTTAACAAAAACATAAACATGTGACCACACCAGACTCTTCAAAGGTTGTGATTTTACATTGTATAAACTAACAGAGGGGAAATGTACCCTCTAGTTGTGACATTTTCATCATATTGTTGGAAGAGCTGGTGAATTTACATAGAAAAAGTTGACGTCATAAACTCACTATAAAGAAAGACATTCCATTTTAAATTTGGATTTCTATAGTGCTATCATATCCCACCTATATATAAACATATCTTGGCTCACCCAGTGGGCAAAGAGATTGAGGTCAACAGTCTTTTATAAGTCTCTCAAATTACTGCATTGGTATACACTGTAGCTTCACGGTCCAGTAACTTTGATTTGTTCTTTCGCCTCAATAACATCTTTCATCTGATACTCTACATTAGTTTCTATTCAGAGGACTATCTTGGAATATTATCACTTGAATAGATATGACAGCCAGTGGATAAATAGGCGATTATCATGAACAAGCAACCATTAAAAAAGTTTATAGCTAGGTAGATAAATAATATTAGGATGGTATACGATGCGTGACCAAAATAAGTTTCAAAAATGACGTGGCAGTTTCGTAAAATTTCTTAACAATGATACTTTTTGGTGTTTAAATTGTTAAATGAAGCCTAAAAATTGATATATTTTTAAAATTATATGTACACATTGATTTTGTACATTTGGTTTTTCATCTAATCATTTTCTTGAAAATCTGGCAATGTGCAGCAATGTACATTGTACATATAAATCTTCAGGCCTTACTAAAACAATGCTTTCCTTGCTAATTTCTCGTGTATTTATGCAGTACAAGTATACTGTAGGTTTTACAATTTATAAAAAGAAAACTTTTTCGATTAGGGTTATAGTAATTAAGGTCTTTTATTATGTTGATCTACAATTTTAAATGTAGACAGATACCAACTTCACAAAGCAAATCAACACATTAAGTACATCAACACTTTTATTTTTTGCCCAAATCAAAGTGGTGTATAGTGGTTTTAAAATTGTCAGTAATTGGAGAGACTTATAAAAGGTTAACTTATTTATTTTAAGCCAACTTGATGTATTAGGGTCACAAAAACTCAACCTACATGTACACACATACATGTAGGCCTACTTAACAAAATAACAAACGAAATGTACATTATATTACGTACATGTCATATATGATCTTTAAATCATATTCATATGCTTTATGCAAATATACATGTATTATGAATTATGATAGATGTTGCTTTAAACATATTATATACATGTATAACACAAACTCATCATCTTTATTATATATTATAAATTTTAATCAAGTAAGGGCGAAAGAAATATATCAAAAATTGTTTATTCGGTGTAAATACATGTTAATGTCATCCATAATTCATCCATTTGTCCCCATCATATAGACTGTTATAGCATGAATTATTTTTAATTAATTTTTATATGGTAATAGAATTCAATAAGGAGAAATGAATTATGTAGGTTGTTTAATTTAAAAAAGTGATACTACTGAGTTACAGACATAACTGCTTTAATCCTGTATATATTTATTATTAATCCAGTATATGAAGTATTAAAAATACAGAACCCACACTGTATGTAACAAGTTCTTTAATCACATCCAATTGTAAAGTCTCTTAATTAATCTGTGCTGTTCTGTTTATAGCCAGAGTAGGACCTTAGACCCTATTTATTTCATTTCATTTCTATTAATAACAAAAACAGGTTTTTCTTAACCTAATTTCAAGCTACCTGTAGATACATGTACATGTACTATTCTTTTTGATCATCAACATTCATTAGTAATCTCTGTTGAAGTTCTGGCTTTAATTTTGAACATTGTAGATACTGAAAACATTTTTATGATTTCCCCAGTTTCTGTAAATTAGAAAAAAGCAATGATTGTTCTTTTTTTTTACACCTTTGGGCATTTTTGTCAGAATTAATTAACATTCAGTGTTGTTTAGAACATACAAGTGTGAAATCCACCACTTTTCTATGATTAGATGCCCGGGGGATAAATTTCAAACAAATGGGGTGTTAACTTTATATCTAGACTTTGTTTTTAACCGTAAGCAAAAACCTTTAAAGGCATTATTTTGTAAATAATACATGACTTAACATAGAGCTTTTCTAACCCATATTAACACTTGGATTTACATACATTATGTACCTGTACAGTTCTTGTATTGATTTAGCAAGCTAATATTTATGGACTTGTATTCCAAACTCCAGTCTTTATAGCTATTTGCTTTTGTTACTCAAGTAATGTCAATTGTTTGTAAAATCCATGTATTATATTAGTAATTACAGAGCTGCAAGTTTTTTAATTCAAGGACCTCAAGTGTTGGGGTAGCTACTATTGTAATTGTCACATGTTCTAAAATCACTCCACCCAAGTTTTACAAATACAGCTTAATTATGTCAACTCACGAAGCATAAAAAGCTAGGACACACAATAGAGTTTACAACTGTTTTCAAATTTAATGAGAGTAAATCCAGGTGTAGGCTATTTAATATATAAATAGACTTACAAATATACAAACAATTTTTGTCTATACAACATTGGCACATCTTGTTATTCCTTTACTACAATTGACTACAATAGTATACACAAAGCTTAAGTAAATATACATATATGTTCAATAAAGTCTTTTAAATCTTTGAATAAAGAATTGGCGTTAAAGAGTTTTGAAGCTCTGTGAACTTTTATTGTTATTCTATGACTTATGTACTTTTTATTATGAAAATTAAACGTTCATTTAAGTTTTATATTTAAATCGAAACTTGCTGGCAAGGTTACTTCTTATATACAATGTACCACACATACTTTAATTTTTTGTATTTTTTACATGTACATCAAGGAAGCGCTTAAATGCACACACATTTTTTGTCTGTCACCATTTTAAGTTTTATTAAAGGTAATTACGAGAAGATTAATGTACCCCCCTTTGTGATATTATGGTTGTTGAAATAATAGTGCAATCTTTATAACTACAACATGTACATCATTCAGTTATGCTCTAATCCATAGTAAATCTAAATCGGTTTTGACCAAGATTTGCAATTTATCATTTGAAATTTTTATTTGTGAATGCAAATTTACATACATGTATTTACTTTAAAACTTAACACTTTAATCCATACCAATTGTCTTGGATCTTTTTTGGAGTAGGAGAAAATAATGGCAATGTTTGGTTTACAACTGAATGAAAATCATATTGAAGGAGTTGTGAAGTTTATTATTATTATTTCATGAATAAAGATACATTTGTGTGAAAAACAAGTAGAAAAGTTTCCAAGTGTTTATTTTATTGTATTTTTTTTCTGGACAAGTAGATTTCATTTTTTAAAGAATCATGATGTCATTTTTACATACATTGTATTTCCCTTTAAGATGAATTTCACTGTATATTACACATTACATACATTAAAACATCTTCTCTTCTGGTATCACCCAATCAATATCATTTCTGTCAGATTTAGTGTTTAACTAGAAATGTATATCTACATTTTCTGTGGAATTATATTTTAAATCTATATTTTTAAATTATAATATATTAAAAAAACAAAGGTTATATATAATTAATATGAATATTTAAATTATTGATGGTTTATTTTCATGTCATTGTATGTGTATACAAGAATGGTGGTTTTCCACAAAATCTATTAGAAAATTGTATGAAAACTGTTCGGTTGTAAATTGGTTAAATCCATGTCAAGAATGTTTTAAATGTAGACTTGTTTCTATCATTTGAGACAATGACACATACACCCATGTTAGGTCATGCACTTTTGAAAGGTGTGCTCTTTAAAAATTTTAAAAGCTTTACAAAATTGATTGCTTCTGTAATGGTGGCATTTAAAATGTCTTCTGCGCAATGTTGAATCTTAGGAAAAAAACAAAGAATTATATGATGATCACCTTGGAAACAATATGGTGAACTTGTTGTTATTTTGTAGATTATTTGATGTGATGAAATGTAATAAAACAAAAAATTGCTAGAAACTATTTTTTCGTATTTTTTTTATATTAATTATTTTGTTACATGTAGTTTGAACACAATGTGAAGGAACACATACATGTACGTGTATGTTGAAACTGGTTGTCAAAGTAACAAATTGTTTCATATCCAAAATAAACATCAAACTACATGTACAGTAAATGGTCCTTTCCTTCAGTTTTGGCAAGCATCTGTTTGTGAAACCACAAGATTTGCATAATCTATGGCAGAAGTTCCCATAATCTATGGCAGAAATTCTGTTAAGCTTGGGATTTCACACTTAGTTTGAAATAGTTTTCTATGGAAAAGACACAGAAGTTATTTAAATAAGAGTACATGTACATGTATTGTTCAGAGGTATTGGCACATTCATTTTAGATTCTCCTTGCAGTCTTGGTTGCTAATTCTTTGCCAGCAAAAGTAGAAAGAATTAGAAATGTAATGCCACCCTCTCAGTTTTCTTACCATGGCCAAAATCATTATACAGTATAATTGAACTACTCCTCTAAGTTTTTGCAAACAAAGAAATAAAACAAGCTATGTAGAGTTTGCCATAATCCTGCATCTTATTCAGAGTGAATAATGTCAGTTAGATAAACCTTTTTTTTTATGTTGCATAGATGGCCGGGTTGGAACCCATGGTTGCGAATCCATACCAAATACTCCAAATATACCTAAAAACAAATAACCTTTGTTTTGGCAAGATATATGTAACCACCTGGGTAAATGGGAAGAAAGACTATCAAAAATATATACTATAATATTGTCACTATTGAAGGTCTTAAAATGAAAATTGAATATTAAAATAATATTTGTAAGTTTAAGTGAATGCCTGACAAGATTATATTGTATAATTTACAAGACCTGGTAACGCATGGTACAGACATTCCCTGGACACCTTGTAACTTATGTGGTCTAACCATGTGTCACATTGACCAGTCAACCATTCCGTATTTAATAGAACTAACTCTATCCTCAGGCAGACAGTGAATTTCGTGCAACAGCAGATATTTTATTTGACTGAACATGTTACATAACCCTGAAAACATTTCAAATGATGCTAATGATGAAAGCCATTAAACAGATAAGAGTGGCTTTTTCAGACTATCAGGTTTCTAAACATTTGGAAACATCTTGAGTGAATATTTGTCGAATAAAATGTAGTGAACATGATAGGATAACCATTTTTATACACCCACAGTAAAATGTTGTATATTGTCTTCTCCCTTGTACGTCCGGCCGGTGTCCACCTCTAGAGTCTAAAGTTAATATCCGTTTGAGTAAATTTATACACAGTGTGTGATGAGACCTGGAAGCCTATTGATTTTCAACGATTTCTGATAATTACTGCCAGAATTTGAAAAATCTATTGGATGTTCTAGTTCTAGAGGCTAAAGTTGATATCTGATTGACTTTAAATTAATACTCAGTGTTTAAGGTCATGAGACCAGGAAGTCTATTGATTTCCACATATTTCCAATAATTACTGCGAGAGTTATGGCCCTTGATAACTTTAGTAAAAAAACTTGTGGATGCTGTAGAAGCTAAACTTAATATCCGATTGACTATATATTTATAGACAGAGTTTTGTGTACTTAATGTTAATATAAGGCAGAACTATAATGATTTCTGATGATTACTTAATTTGTTACTCATAATATAGAACAGAACTATAATGATTTCTGATAATTACTTACATGTAATGGTTTGTTACTCATAATCAGATTTTAGTGGGTTGCAAATGTTTTCATACTGACAAGAAAACAAATATGCGACAACCCTTGTTGACTGCACGGACGACTTACACTGTAATCCGGGTATCATTTAATTTTGTGTATTTAGCACTAATTTCTTTCACATTCATTTAATATAAGGTCTTTTTTAAAAATTCAAAATTGAATGGTCAGCTTTAAACTGGACACAAGTACAAAGATTTTTGGTGATTTTATGAAATTTTAAACAAAGATTTGATATTAAACGAATGTGAAAGAAATTAAACTGGACACATGTACAATGATTTTTAGTGATTTTATGAAATTTTAAACAAAGATTTGACATTAAACGAATGTGAAAGAAATTAGTGCTAGATACACAAGATTAAATGATACCCGTGTTACAGTGTTAGTTGCTGTGGTTGTATGTTTCATTGCCTAGCTACCTATCTTTTGTATTCTAATTTAAAATTTCATATTTTCTACAAACTTGAAGCCATGTCAGAGCAACGGGGTAATTTAAAGAGTAGGGGGACTATAAACTTCCCTCTTCCCAGATAGAATTCTTAGACTATGCATCCTTTTTTCTAAGAAAAAAAAACTGCAAATAATCATTACAACTTCTGTGGGTTTTTCAGTTAAACTCTTTGCTCAGAAAACAACTTGAATATGTATCATTTCATATTGTATTATGGTTTGTCTTGACGAAAGGTGTCCTTAGTGTAAATGCAGGGTTTTTTGATTATGAAAACCTAAAAAATTTCTTTGTGACATTAACAAATGCTCAGAAGGGCACCTTTCAGTCATTAGATTATTTGCTCAAACTCAGGGTCGTTTTTTGTTTTAATATGGTAAACCGATTCAAGAGATTGTAGAGTGCATGTAAGGATACAGTTGTCTTCCGCAATTGACATGCCAGCCAGAGACGCCTGTTTTCTAAAAGCGCTCAGATCCTGAATAATTGGCAAACTGAAGAAATTTTCTCACAAGAATGAAGCTTAAAGAGAGGAAGGAATAACCGAGCCAGGTGTATTAACCGTAAATAAACATTTACATGTCTTGAAAAACTAGGCCAGGCAGCCACTGGACAAGCATTCCTTAAGGTAAAGACTACCAGTTCTTTTAAGTCTATGTTGTCATAGAACTGTGTGCTAGTTTTAAAGATTTTTGTTTTTCTTTTAAGTGTTTTAAAGATCTGATAGTGGGACATATTCCACAGTTTGTAATCTTGGGTGGGTTATTTGAACAAGTGAAGTGACTTTTGGGAGACATATATAACTCTGGCATTTCTATTGACAAACCAAACTGTTTTCGATTTTTTTAAATGGAGGGAGATACAATACATGTCTAACAATGATAAGTGAAAAAAAAAGGTTTTAAGATTTAATCATGTACAGATCTAGAGTCCAGACATTTTTATGCTGAGTGGGGTGGGGTTCGGGGTACCAATTTAGAATGATACATTTAGACTAAAGCTTGAGGAAAATTCACGGAAAAGGGGGTTGTTTATCTGCCCTTTACACTAACTTATCTTTGGTAGATACAATGTTTTTTCATGGTTTTGATACCGGTACATTAATTTTTAGCAACGGGTAGAGAAATGAAATGAGGTTTAACGTCCTATTTTCTGCTCCGATTATGAAGAAGGACATGCTCCATACAGTATGCTATGAGGAAGATTAAGCCTGAACAGCAACACTAAGTCCTACTCTTATTTCGAATTCCAACCATCAAAGGTTCTTTTACATGGACACCAATGTGTACACAGGGTGTCAGTTTTCTGTTCCCTCCAAACGATTAGAGACTGGTTCTCATCAGGCCCACAGTCCTGCACCACTGACAAGGGGAAAACCATGCTGGAAAATGGAGAACCAACCATAGAAATGAAAATTACCATAAGTTAGTCTCTATATAACCAAATTATTGTGATTACGAGTCTTCAAACCTTATTCCATTCTGTGTGAACTGGGTGGGACGATTTACCCAATACTACCCCCAATACTACCCAATACCACCCAATACCACCCCAATACCACCTCAATATTACCACATACTACCCAATACTACAACATAATGATGCAAAATAGACATATCGTTTGATTTTTTTCAAAAATAGAGAGTTATATCGCGGAAAATGTACTTCAAATGCGATACCGATATCTGGCTGTTACACTTGCCTCCCTCTATCACCCCAAAAAAGACAATAATAAGCCAATACTACCAAACACTCATCAAATACTACCAAATACTACCCAATATGATCAAATAACAACTTAATATTGTCAAATAACAGCACATTAGTATAATTACTGCAACGAATATTCGATAATTTACAGAAAATTGAAATTTTTGCACAGTTATCTCCATTTACAAGCGGTAAATAGATTTTAGATTGCTACACTGATTAATCATCTTCTTTGCCTTTGCGATTCGTTTCCAAGACGACAAACTTAAAATAAGAAAAACAAGTATGATGATATATACCATATTTTATTCCCAAAATGACCCATCTGTCTCTTACCACTTGAAAGGGTCGTCTGTCAAACAAGGTGGGTTTTCTCGGGTCTCCGGTTTCATCTCACTGTTAAACATCCCTTCGCGCATATATATATGTTAGTCCCGAAATTACCTAGTTAGTATCGATTGTTTGTATCTATTTTAAAATTAATGCTTTAACAAAACAATTGCATAATGTTTATATTCATTTTTTCATGTCAATTATTAAGTTATTGCGTATTTACTGACTGCACGATATTTTATTTTAAAATTAATGAAATTGCGCATGTTTCTTTCCAGTGTGTAATTCTCAACGCGACACATCTCAGTTCATCAAAACTATCATTTGCGGCCTGTTACAGCTCTGTCGGTTTCTTTGATAATATAAATAAAACAGAACTTGATTACCCAATCAACAATCTTAACCCCGTTGATTAATTGGTAAGTCAGGTTGAATGTATATACAAGTAGAGCAATCTAAAATCTATTTGTCAGTTGTAAAGGGAGATAACTGCGTAAATATTTAAATTTTCTATAAATTACCGAATATTCGTTGCAGTAATTATACTAATGTGCTGTTATTTGACAATTAGGTTGTTATTTGATCATATTGGGTAGTATTTGGCAGTATTTGATGAGTATTTGGTAGTATTGGGTTATTATTGTTTTTTTGGGGGTGGTAGAGGGAGGCAAATGGAACAGCCAGATATCGGTATCGCATTTGAAGTACATTTCCCGCGATATAACTCTCTATTTTTGAAAAAAAATCAAACGATATGTCTATTTTGCATCATTATGTTGTAGTATTGGGTAGTATGTGGTGATATTGAGGTGGTATTGGGTAGTACTGGGTAGTATTGGGTAAATTGTCCCGCTGGTGTGAACTAGATTCATAGTTCTTTTACAGTCTTAAAGGAGCTAAATCGCTAATATTTAGGACCTAGAAATTGACGCAAATGGGTTGCAACACATATGATAATGTAATCTGATTGTATATGAACTGATTTACATTCAATTGTTTACGTTTTGACTCTAATTTCAAATCAGTTAGGTCCAGCGAAATACGGCATGAGTCTCGACCGAATAGAAATTTCTAGCGTCTGGTTATTCCAGTCAATTGCTCATGCTAAGTTATGGCATCGCCGTATGACATGAGTTGTGGAATATGTCTAGCCTCGCTCTTTCTGGTCACTTGTTACAAATGACGATGAAACGCAATATGGTACACAATTCATGTACCAATGGTAAAATGTATATTTTATCTTAAATATTGGATATCAGAAGCCTACCTTTTCCCGGTGAGATAAAAACATCAATGTTGATTTGAATTGACAAATAATTCGTCTTTTCAACGTGTAAGACTTTAGATGATATTGAGTTAGAGACTTAGCTACTTTAAGTATTCCATGTTATGACTATAGGCACTATCTCTATGTCAGATACTGGTACTACAAACAGATGCCAACAGCATTGAAATATCTAAATATTTCTTTAAGTGACAGCAGTGTTTTCAAGGTTTTAGACACTTTGTAAGAGAATGATTTTCATCAGGATGTTCAAAATGGATTGTATGCAATTTTAATAGACAGTCTTCCAAGCCACTGTTGGGATAGAGAGATTTTAACTTTCAATTCTAACTACATACAAACAATTCAACAATTTTCCTCTTTCACATGTTCTGGATACTGGAATTCAACATGGCCTAATTCAAATTATACCCACATTTCGCCCTATTTCATTTTTATATTGTTTACTGCTCTTCATCTTGGTCTAAAGATATTTCTTTATAGGGCGCATTCAATAATGCACAAATTGTGATTGGTCTACTCCAGATCGACTTACCAATCTAAACCAGCAACACAGAAAATTCCCCAAATCTTATGACAGAGAGGGAGGAATTCAAATCATAATTTAGGTGTTCGGTCAGGCCAATGTGCCTAATGCATGGTCTTGGACCTTATTGGTAATGCACGTGTCATGGTTTCGATCCTGTGCATGTACATGACAAGGACATGAGTAGCATGGTCAACCGTGTGGGTTTTCTCTGGGTCCTCCAGTTTCCCCCCATTTCTAAAGACACATGTATTCAAGTAAATCATTGAAATAATGATATACAATGATATTATGTTAGTCCGAGAATGATCTAGTTTGGATTGAGTAGACATTTTAAACCAGTTTCTATTCCTTATTTTCCAATCCTAGCATGAGTGTTTACTGGTTTAATTATTTCTGGTAGGTATAGATTAACATGGCACTGTGGATATCATAATAACACTTTCAGCCAGTAAACAAATCAAATAGATGCCATATATCTGAAGGCAGGTCATGTTTTCATATTAGGTCATGTAAATATTTGGATATGACTTTCGGAGGTCAGAGGTCAAGTGAGCAAATTATTACATCTCAAATTTACACTGGAGGCATTTGTGAAAACTTGCAGTTAATCATGCACTTGCCAGTGTGGTGTGATCTCACTTACATAACAATGATGTAATAATAATGACCGACTTATATTTCAAATTATAATGTTACCTGCAGCTTATGCAACTTTAATAATTATAGGATTTTTTTTTTGTACCTAAGTCTTTGTCCTTGAGTTATTTTACTCCACCATATTTTTAATTTCTAATACTTACCCTGTAGGTCTGCTCCATGAAATAGGCCATAATTTGTGTTCTATAAATGATACGATATATATTTCTTATGTACAAACAATGTATAAATCATGAATATAAAGATAATTATTTTTAAAAGTTTCTCTTTTTAGTTTTTTATTGGTATTTCTATTATCTTTATTAATGACATTTAGAATTGGAGGTTTAAGATAAATATACATATAAAAAAACACAACTTCGAGGATTTCATGCAATGTTAAAATATTTATTGCTTGATAAAGATACCCCAGGACATTCCACCTTATCAACGATGTAGGATGGAGGGCCTGTCATAGAAAACATCCAGTTGTTTGGATTGGACAAAAATATGAGTTCCATTCGTGCACTGGTTGGTGTGCATGTTAAAGACCCCTTTACAGTTGGAATTCTATGAAGAGTAGGTGGAAATGTCGCTGTTCTGATAAAGTTTCCCTTATAGCTCTCTGCTTGGGGTATGCTTATCTCTATTTCATTAGCCCAGTTTGTGCAGAAAAAAAAGTGTTGAATCCCATTTTATAATTGAACCCACCTAAAGCAGCATTTCTGAATCAACCCTTGGAGATTTCAGAACTCTAGATATTTAGGTGAACTGATTTTAACTAAGCTTATAATTGTTTTTACATAATATAAATTGCATATTGTTATCACATATTCTCTATATTTACAGAAATGCCTGTTATGTAAATAGATTTTCTAAGCAATAAAAATAAACTGTTCCAACTCTGGTGAAAACTTAGGTTTCCAATTCCATTATTGAATTATTCATGTGAAATAGTCTTTTTATTAGTTGACTTGTCAATATTTTTTCTGTGTTTTGTTTTAAGATATGAGTCATCCTTATTACTGGATTCTGTAGAAGTACAAAAACAGACAGTCATATCACTGTTCTCTCATCTATGTTGGCTGTTCTATCAATTAAGGTTTGGTCATGGGCAGCACATTATAACCTGCACTCTGGCTATGTCAAAGGGCTAAATGTCAGCACAATTAAGAATATCTTGCCAAATGAAAAGTAAACAATGATTAGGTTGTTATCGGTATTCTAACTTGTGACAGAGAAGGTGATTTGATCTGGGATTTGACGCCTTTCAATCCTGTTTGATCTTCAGACCTCGGCCATCAGAATCACCATCAACTGGTATTAAGGTTTAAAATCACAAAAAAATCATCAAATCGAAATAGCCATTTTCAATGTTATTTTAAACTTTATAAATAAACATCAAATCGGCTATTTCTATTTATTTCTTTTTGTCTTTCTTGTGAACTTAGGAAACCTTTTAACAAAGAAAAAAGAGAAGTTTTTATTGATTTTTTTCAAAGTTATGCATACACATGAAGAAATAGTCAACATGCAGTGTTAACAAATGTTCTGTACAAATGCATACTGTAATACGATCATAAATATTTACACACAAATACGTTTCATACAAAACTGAATTGAATTTGATTGATTTGTTACATGGTGCATTACCCCCCCAATAAGTTGTTACACAATGTGTAAGGTGGAGATTGTTTTTTTTTCTTGTACTAGGTTAAAAGCTTTTAAACTGAAATTTTTATGTCTTCCATTAAATGAAATGCTTTTTTTTATTTCAGAAAGTGTAATTTTAAAGAAAGAGTGTGATGCTGGCCAAGATATTTTAGTGGTTTGCAATTAGTTTTGGTACGAAAATAATACTAAAACAGGTAAATTAGGAGAAATCGAGGAGTTGCCAATATTTTATATTTTATTAATTAACAAGTATTAAATTAGCTTCAATAATGCAGAACAGAAAACACAACTCATAAGTAAGATGGTAGTTTGATAATATCAAGTTAAATTGTTTTACAAATTCCAAGTTTAAATATGGAACTTAGAAAAGGCCACATTTGATATTTCTGCTCACTAAAATATTTGAATATTGGAATAAGGATAGTTTTTTATGGTTATTCAAACTGAATTTTTATTGATACATAGGGAATTTAATCAGTATATTGTTTCCTATTTGAAATAATTAGTAGTCTCAATCAATGTTGTCAACTTGTATTCAAAAATAATTAAACATGAAAATATATTGATTCACATTATCAGGAAATCTGAAGAAGCACTGAAAACTATATAAACAATTTTTATTTTAATTGAATCAAATATTCAAATAGCATTCAAATAATAACTTGAATGGTAAAATCAGCATTCTGTGTGATTACTATTTGATATCAGATATTAGTTCAATATCTGTCACTCCCCAAAAAAATAGATGTACCTGTCACTCCCCCAAAGTCTTCCCCTTTGAATACTGATATGCATTAAAGACCACGCCATTTCTCAAAATTGACAAGTACTAGGTAGGAGATATTGTGAAATTTATTAATTGGTAGATATTACATGAAATTTGGGGACTTTTTTGTGTATGAAGTGAAACTGAAACTTTGATAAAAAAATATAAAATTTCCTCAGATGAATGGAGAGAAGTTCAACATTGTTCAGGTTAATGTATCATATTATAAACCTACACTATCCACATCTCTAACAATGACTGAATCCCTGAAGGATATTTTTCAACCATGATTACTATGTTGTGTCTTCCCGGATTTACTAGGAGTAAATATCTTAAGTTGAGATATGCGTGTTGACCTGTCTATATCCCCTCTAACTACTCTTAAAAGTATTGGCCATATCCTCAAGTTAAGTACCCCTTGGCTCTGACCTAAAGGTTAAACTCTAACCCATAACCAGTAGAGCTTTTGGTGTATACCCAGGACTTTTTTTCAATTTAACAAGTTCTAAAGGGACACTGTGTTCAAAGGTGAATTTTCTTAATAAATACAGAGTAACTACTTTGTCCATCCTTTATACTATCACTGGTCAAGCGGTTAGTGATCTGTATTTAGAGGTCATTATCTATGGGTACTATAATGTACCCTATATGCTTTGACCTGGAGGCCTCACGATGATAGCTCCCTACAATTACTACTGTAGTTAATTATGATAAATTAGGAATTAATCATTTCACTGTTTGAGCCAGCCTTTCATTAAAGGCTTTCTTTCTACATACTTGTGTGTGTTATTGTTAATTATGTGTTATTTGCAAGTATCATTGGTAATTGTTTTATTTGAAGCTTAAAGCTCATCATATCATAAAATAGCTTATAACTTTCTGTCATATAGGTTTTAAAAATCGATCATAGAATTTTTTTATTTAGGTTAATCATCGATGATGAATTATGATTAATATTGTTTTAAACATTTCATACTTCACATAAAATTTTAAAAAAATGATTATGTACGATTTATTAATACCTGAGGGGTCCAATTTTTCTGAATTGATCATAAAATAGTCAATATCTAGGTTAGGGCCTATATATTCAAAAAATAACTGACTATTAGATTTGTAATTTTCTTTTTTTTTAAAAAGTAAAGTATTATTATCCAACTAAGAAATGATATTTTTTAGAAGGGGATGATCATTGAGATATCAAGTTAAAAATGATTGAGCTGATTGAATTATATACAACTATTGCAATTTTTGTTAGCTTGATACGTCAATGAGTATGGTGCTGGGTTTGATCCTGATATTGGCTGAGAAAGTTTCTCCCGATTTTCCAGGATTTCCACCCTGGTCACTCCGTATCAATGGTGCCAGACGAATGACCTGGTAAGGAAAAGTGTTGAGTCGTTCTGTACAGCGAAAAAATACCTGAGATCCACCTGTGTGCACATAAAATAAACTCTTGACAGTTGTCATTCAATCAAGTCTAGATGGATATGCATAGTATCCCTCATTATGGGATGTTTCTGTCTTAATAAGCCCAGTTGGTGCATACAAGTAAGTGGTTAAAATCCCATTTATTTTCTTGTTGTCCAAGAAAGCATTTAAACTCCTTGTTCTGACTAAGTTTTCTGACAAAAACCAGACCAGCATTGAAAGTGTGGATTAGAGGTTGGTATATTATAAAAATGTAATCTAACTGAAACCAGAGGACTGACATAGTTTAAAGAATAGCAAATCGTGAGAAATTTAATCTGAAATTAAAAAAAACAAAAAACCATTAATCGTTAGATTAGATTGTCCAACAGACATACAAAATTATTTAGAACAGAAAGGTGAAGAGAAATGTAAAATGATCAACTAAACCATTTCAATAATGTTATCTTTCAAATTTTTTTTTCACAGTCTTGAAACCCCTCATTGTGTGAATTTGGTTTAATACCTTGCACGTTCCTCATAAACTGCATAGAACGTTTAATAATGAAAAGTGATTATAGATAATGTCTACCTACATGTCTATCAACATGTATTTAATATCTGTATCTTAAATATTTAACCTACCTGTCCTTAATATTTTATCAGTGTGTGTTAAAACAACATTATCATTACAATGTTGACACGATAACTGAATGTGCAGAATGTTTATAGTCACATACATTTATTATGTAGATATGGTCAGTCTATCTGCACCAGGGCTTTCACTTCAACATTTTGTCAGTCAGTTATTTTTTTTTACGTTGGATATCAAGATATTTTTTGGTTTAAACAGTATTTATTTCAAGAATATTATACAATATAAAAGCATAAATAATAGGATACAAAAACAAGCCAAGTAGGCTTATATTAATTTGCTTCCTTCTGGTTTGGGTGTATAGAGTATAAGTACAATTTCAAATAATATATGATACAGACAAAAACTAATTACATTATTTTAGTTATGGTACAAATAAGTAGATAAGTAATTTTGAAAAAATAAAATAAAAAATAGATAAAAATAAAAAATTGATAAAAATATTTTTTCCAAAGAATATAAACAAATTTTCTCATCTTTTTAAATATATTAAAGTCTTTTTACACATGAAATCTATAACTGTTTAAAGTTAAATTCTTTAATATTCTAATTGTATGGCATGTAAATTGACTGATGGGTACCTGGTTAAGCCAATCAATTTCACTGCAAACAGTGAGTAAAGACAGACAAATATAATTGATTCCTAAAGTGAAGAAGCTTTTTAAAATTCAGATGCAATCATTTGCAGAGTTGCTACTCCAAACTCTGAAACCATGTGTATGCTCTATAGTCTGTTTTTATTTTAGTAACTTGCTGGATTGTTCACACAGAAGTAGCTAATTCAATTCAGTGATGAAACATCCAACATTTTAATAAATATTCAATCCACTCAGTTTTTAAATAAAATAGTGAGTTGACTAACCCAAGTAAAGTTTTTATGGACAATTTTATTTACAATGTATAAAATGAATCATGGACTATAGCAATTGCAAGATGATCATTTAAGATAATTCCAGACAAGCCTTCAGCAATTTACGCTTTGATTCATTTATTCGCTAGCTAATTTGACCAGGGTAAAATATCTATTATTAAACTGTTTATCTATATCTGTGATTGACGGCTATCAGTTTTTGTCCACCCCTATGATAAAGGTGTCAAAGACAGATAGCTATCAATGTCCACTGATAATCAAGTCTGAATATAGGTTTTTACTGTCATTTAATATGGCCTTATTTTTATTCATATCTGTAAAATACAATCAATATTATCGTGCCACATTGTACAAGTAGAATGTTTTTATAAATTCTGTCAAATTTTGAAGAGTGTGACAGGAAATAATAGCAAGGACATGCTTATCTCATATGAGATGCCCCAGGGATTCTACAAAATAAAATGTTGTATTATTATATTATAAGAATAAAGCTCAAATTTGTTTTTTTAATGTGTCTGAACATTATTGAATTCTTTAGAGATAAAATTTTTGATTAATAATTTGTTAAAAACTATAAGTTGATTGTTTGCGGGCTGTTATCAGCTTTAGTTTATACATGGATCTTCTTGCCGACTAGAATCAGTGTATGGAATTTAAATCAGCATTTTCTGGTCACAATGTCCTGGTGCCATAACCAAATAAATATGTTTTTTTAAAATCAATTTAAACCAAATAAATACGGTGAGTCTCCTTTGGGTGTGAAATACAATATTGATAAATGTCTTGAAAATAAATTTTTTAGGAAATATTGACAGAATGCCATGTTGGACGAGAATAAGAAGACATGCAAAATTCCTAATTTTTCAGAAACAGAAAATGACCCAAGGCTACACTGTGTTGTTGTTGCAGAGTCAAAATGCCTTCCGAGATGGTATGTATATCATATAATGTTTTGTTCATAAGTTGTTTTTTTTACAGACCCTCTTATCAAGGAACAAAACCTGCTTAAGTGTTTTTCCTTGTCAGTTTTTGTTGAATAAATATTAGACACTTGTCCAAGACAAGAAATGGCATACAGCTTTACATGTAAAAATTATATATACCAAACATGATACCACATATCAATTTTAGTGGCTTTATTTGCCATTTGGCATCAGTTTGTGGTTTTAGCTTAACTTATTGTGTGCATCATCAATTCTGCTCTTAAGAAAATCTTTAGAACTGATTTGTAATGATCGATACTCATTATAGATACAATAGCTCTGATGTTCTAAATCCATTTAATGTTCCTCTAACTGAAGTCTGTTGAAAACTGGTGAAATGTATCTCCCACAGTCTATTTGTTATAAGCTGAATAGGATATAGAATCAAGTGCTCTTGATCCCTTGACCTTTTGTGTTTTTGTGTATTTGTGATCTATCATATCAACTGCAGGGTTTTTTTTATATTTTAGGGGTTTTTTGATAATAAAGTAGCATGTATCATTTTGATTTCTGATTTTCTATTATTCATTAGACATTTTGAAAAATAATGAAATGAAATCGGGTTTAACTTCCTATTTTTCTCGACTAATATAGAGCATTGAGGACAATTTTGTCTGGACAGTGGTGTTTTATCATAAGTGTGATAATAGCTATAAAAAAAAAATGGTTAAACTATTTTCTGAATGAATGGTTAAATTTACATTATATTTATAAAAAAGATATGAAAAGTTGCACAAAAATATATTTTTTTTTAAGGGGGCCACATTGTTAAATCAAATCTGAAAATAGATTTGGTTTCAAGTCAATGTGATTAACCCATAGTTTCAAAGGTAAGTCGAAAAGTCGGAAAATAGATAAGAGAAAGCAAGAACCATATCAATTTTATTTACATTTGGGAATCATTTTTCATGCAATTCTCCAAAGGTTTGTGTTAATTTAACACATAATAACATATAACCTCTATCATCAGGTCGAAAAACAAACGAGAACTGCTCAAGATGGTAACAGTGGGACTATTTATTGAAGTCTATTTTCTCGTCAAACTTTAATACCAGATTGGAAATTACAGACATAGTTTTATATACCACGTTATGATTGTAAAATCACCATCCAATTGGGATAACAAATTGGTACCCAAGATCAACTTGGACTGATTTGTGACTCCCCTGAGTGACATCCCCAACCCAACTCTATACATAATGAATGATTTTTTCTCTTCTCACTGGTGTGAGATATTGGCAATCTTGCGACATTGGTCCAATAGTCATTACATCACAATACAAAATGATTTCAAGCCAAAGAAGATGAAATGAAATAAAAGAATTTTATTCAGTTGTCCGTTCTGATAACTCAAGAATCAAAATAAGTGTAAAATCTGTTTAGACATAAAATTAGTTTAGTTATTACTTTGTTTTGAAGATAGAAATAAATAGATGTACAGAAATGTGTGATGGAATTTAAGCCATTTTTGAAATCATTTTGATGGTTATATTAGCACAATGTTGATAAGGTGTTTGTCTGATCTTAATCGTCTCAAGGAGGTTCCTATTGAAATTAAGAATTGGTCATCAATTTTTATACGCCCACATTGGAAATGTGGACGTATATTGCCGTCGCCCAGTCCGTCCGTCGTCCACAATTTCTTGTGAACACTCTACAGACTACATTTATCATCTGATTGTTTTGAAATTGATATATGTTGTTTACATTAGTGAGGTGAAGACGTCTATTGATTTTCAGCAATTTCCAATAATTACTTCCAGAGTTATGGCTCTTGATCACTTTGAAAAATCTTGTGGATGCTCTAGAGACAAAAGTTATCATCCGATTGACTTTAGATTGATAAACAGAGTTTAAGGGTCTTGAGACAAGTATACTGATTTTCAATGAATTTTGATAACTTGAACAGCTAAAGCCATGATATTAAATGTTTGGTATACTAAACGTTAGCAGACCTAAAAGCCAAACAAATTCTAATGATTTTCGGATAATTACTTAATCAGTTGTTACTCTTAATCAGATTTTAGTGTATTATAAATGTTTCATTACCGACAATAGAAAAAATATGCGACAACTCTTGTTGACTGCTTGGACGACTTAGCTGCTGTGGGCGTATGTTTCGTTGCCTGGCAACCTATCTTTTGCAGAGTTACTGCCCTTGTCACCAAAACATTTTAAATTCAGGCATGTCAATCAATATCATACTTCCTAGATATTATATCTGAAAACTTCACAATCTCAGTCTGGTGTTGGAAGCATGGAAGTAGTGTAAACAGGCCCATCAGAGTGAAGATGGTCTTGATCCGAGAACCATTAATTTATGGTTAAACTGTGGTATTGTAAAAAGAAACCAAGTGTGGCCTGGTTATATCAGTATATAAGTGTGTTTAGTACTGACAGTAACCGGTATTCCCTTATTTTCTTTACCAAAGCCAACTTAAATTAACTTTAATCATGGCAAGAACAGTTCTGGAACCAAATAGATTTGTAACTGATGCGGTTTCACTTGTCAGACTTTTTAAAATTTACTTTTTGAAAAGGGTTTATGCCATTTAACACATCACATCCTCTTCTAATACCATTTGGAATTATAAATCGCTTTATTATACCTTTTATAAGCCATTGGAAATTTGAGCAAAAAATTTAGCTGAGGAAGATTTAAGTTTCCTGCAAATTGGCCTAAGCCAAAACCTTTGATGATGCTTGAGATACAGCTAAAACACTGCTGATACGAATTTTAACAGGCATTCGCAAATCCTGTGATTTTTGCAACATTAAACTTGCCAGACTCAAAACTTGGTTGCATTGATGACAAGCGAAAGTGTAAATCAATCAACTACTTGACTTCTCGCTAGTAATGGAGGTGATTTGTCTTATTTCTATAAAAAACATTCAATCCAACCTCCAATTTTCTCTACGTTAACAGTGATCACTAGTAGTAATATTGAATTCAGTCAATCCAGGGAGAATAATAAATTTATAGCTAATTTGTAATCATTGGTCTCACTCCCTAGTTGCCAATTAGTAACATTTTCTTACTTAACTGAGAATTTCTACTCTTCTGTCGAATACAAACATGCAAGACATATATAAAGCTATGTTTTAGTTGAAAACAAAACCTGTGGCATACGTAGAAGTTATAAATGGGGAGTAGGGGGGGGGTAGAGACAAAATTTTTAAGAATTATTTAAATTGATATTGAAGAGTGAGATATTGGAAACATATCTACAAGTGCACACCAAACCATCACACACATCCTCCCGTACAATGTGATTTTTGGAGTTAAATAGATCCGAAAATGTATTAGTTTGGTTAAAGATACATTATGGCAGATTCGATAACAAGTTGTCAGTTCTCACTATAATAGTTAAAAACTAGATAATGTAAAGGCAATTTGCTGAAAATTTCATTCAAATTGATCCACTATGACCGAGAACTAAGCGGTTGAAATTTCCGGCTAGCCTTGATCATCATTACTAAAGTTAGTATGATAAACAGCATGATAGGTTAATTAATGTCTAATTCATTATTTAGATAACATTTCAGGTCTAAAGAAAGACCTGCAATAGACAGATTTAGCTCTTGCATAATGTATGTTTAAGTAGTGTAGAAAAACAGAAGCATAAAACAAAATACAAAAATATAATATTAATTAAATGGTAATTGAATTTACAGTCAACTTTTATTTTATTTTTTTAAAAAAAAACATTACCAATATTTATTTTGCTTCATTTCAGGCCTAAAGAAAGATCTGCAATAGACAGATTTAGCTCTTGCATAATGTATGTTTAATTAAATATCTTGATGGCCTATAGTATACTGAAAGTAGACTTAAACAAAATATGATAAAACATGTATGAGTAGAGATGGGTAAAAAAATCCAACACTCCAGTCTAAAACGAGTGAAATTATTGGAGTATAATAATATCTGATTTCTTGGTGATAAGTAAAATTACACCTTTAATAAAGTTTTATTGAAAACTAAAGCAGGCTGCAGTTGCATAATTTTCATTTTGCAGCAACATAATTTTATTTTTCTTATCATGAGAGATGAAATGATTGAAAAAAAAACAAAAAAACATTTAAATATCAATTAAGTTATGAAAGATCCTGGTAACATCTTATCAACACTAACAGCTAACACATTAACAATGTAGCATTATGTCAAGAAAATGAGTTTATTTTACTGACAGAAAAACTAGTTTTTATTACATCCTTGTGTTGGGTTAATTTTGATATGTATACTGAATATAAAAGTCATTTAGATCTATATCACAATATAAAAACACATGACTACATGCATTCATACATATAGGATGTTCATAAAAATGTCAAATAATAATTTGCTGTTTCATAATATCTGTTGAATACATAACAAATAATAATATCCATTTATAAAGCACGAAATCCATGAAACATGCTCATCACGCATGAACTGACTTAAACAGACAATTTTTCAAGTCAGAATAAATTGGTGAGGTTGAGGTTAAACTGACTTAAAACAGACAATTTTTTTGAAAACTCTATCCCAGAGACTGCACAGACTGTTTTGCCTTTAAATGGCTTTATACAAAAAACGATAATTAAGACATTTTGGTAAATCTATGGCCTATTTTGTCCGAGAAGTCTTAGCGCCAAAGGCAGAACCTTAGACAGGAGAAATCCCAGACCAAGTATGTCTGTGAAATCCAAGAGCTCCAATTTTTTGACTTGTGGTAGCATACCAGTCATGTATTAGGACCTTTTAGTTATAAAATATATCCTCATTAAATAAAATTATGTTAATGGGTTTAAATATTAAAGTGTGTTATCAGCTTTTCTCATAATTTAACTCATTGTTCAACTTTAATTTACTGAGTAAGTTACCCTAAGTGATTAAAAACAGTTAAATTGAAAAGGTAACTGATTGGAGTCTCTGGGCTTCAGTATGAATTAACAAAAAACTGAGTTTCTCAGAATGGGGTCAATTTATATTAATGATCAAATTTCCCTGACAGTCCCGATCTCAACAATTTAAAAACTACCAGGATAAATAGGTTTGTTAAAAATAATTTATTTTATGCACTTTTTTTTTTTTGATAATCTAAAAATTTGAACAACACAGCTATTATATATAGTACACTTTGTCCATAAATGAACAAAAATTATGTAACTGGAATTTATGAGATTAATGCATGATATTAATGGCAGAATCTCAGGGGTTAGCATATTGCAAAAATTACCTTGTTTAATTTTATCATTGGCGTATTGCACAAGTTGAGTCTAAACTTTAAAGTTCTGTGTTCATTAAAGATACATTATGTAAGAATTAAATAAAGAGCTCGCCATTCTTGCTATAATAGTTCGAAAATAGATAATGTAAAATTAATAATTTGAAAATTTCATTCAAATTACTCTATTGGGAGCGAAGATATTAGCCTTTGAAGGTTTGACAAGACGTGTGCAATAATTTCAACCACTGTACTGGTTGTTCGAAGCCAAGTCTCGCTCCTCCATTTTTAGCTTAAATCAAAATATGGCTGAACTGTTCTAATCTATTTAATATCGGACAAATCCGATGCCATCGAGAGTTGATTATGGCCTGGATAAGTTAATTAATGTCTAATTAATAATGTAGAAAACATTTCAGGCCTAAAGAAAGACCTGCAATAGGCAGATTTAGCTCTTGCATAATCTATGTTTAATAAAAAAGAGACATATCTTTATATAATAGGGGAGCCACAGTGCCTCAGTGAGTAAGACCATTGGCTCACTAACCTGGAGGTCCTGTGTTCAATCCCTGCATTGGCAGAGAAAGATCATCAGGATTTTCTGGCATGGTTCCTCCTTGTCAGTGGTGCAGGGCAGCATATAGTCATTTGGATGGGACTAAAAACCAAGGTCTGTGTACACATTTCCTCATAGTGACTGTCTGGCATATGCCTGTCTTCATATATTACACAATAGAACAGGATGAGCAGAGTGGAGGAACAAACTAACATGTCATTAATTTATTTTCATACAAGGTCCTTAGAGAGGAAACCCACAAGGTTGGACAGGGAACCGTGATTTATGTGTAGACCAAAAATAGTGTTATCAGGTACTGAAGTGTCATGCAGGAGGCAGGATATACTTACTCTTTATGGAACACCACAAACCATGATTGCCTAATCTTGACATTTTTAATTAAATGATGGAATATTATATATTGCTGAGCTATTGCCTTTTAAACCTGACACTGTATATATTTACAAAAATAGATAGATAAAAGTATGACTTGTTGTAAGAATATATTGTATTAACTGCGGAAC